CTAATTAGTAAAAGTTACGAATGAAATGTCATTAAGCCCATGTTTGTCTACCATTTTTCAAAAAATTGTTTTCTACAGTAATCAATCTCTACCACACATTCAAATAATAAAATATTCTACACATAAACCGATAAAGTTTCTTTCAATTTCAACCACACATTTTCCAAAAAATACTATTCATTACACAATTTTCTTCTCAATAATGGTTGACAAACAGACACTAATTATATTTATGTAGTGTTGCTGAAAATATTAAAAAATTTAATTATGGTACGGAACCGAACGGAACCGAACCCGAACGGTTCCATAATTATATTTGGACCCGATGAGTCCATTTATTAAATACCCGAAAGTTTTGGGTCGGTTCGGGTCTCTTCAGAATCGAACCGAACCGACCCACGGACAGCCCTACCTCTGTCCAATAACCCAACATTCAAAATACATGAAAATCATAATAAAAAATTGAACTAATTGAATGAATGAACTTACTATTGAATGAATGAGCTTACTATTGAATGAATGAGCTTACTGTTGAAAGAAAGAGGAATTGGCGTTAAAGCAAACTGTGGATTCCAGGTTGGACACTGAAAATTAATATAAATGAATGGCTATATAATCACACAAAGAAAGGGGGAAATATAATACAAACCTGAGGAAATGCACGAGGTTGGAGCAAAAAATCTATTGTTCGAGCAAATGGAAAGGAAGGAAAAGCAATGGGAGAGATTGATTATTAACAAAACTGAACCAATAGAAAGATGAATCCATTATATGTTTATGTACACTATTTTACATCAAGATACCATACCTAAGAAATGAGCTTTTTTTCACAGACTATAAGGACTGAGGCTCCCAATAACAAGCATATACCATGACCCCAATCCCCAAACATCACGGCAAAAAGAAATGGAAATGTAACGATGGTATAAAATGCGGGATTTGCCTTCTGATAGTTAGCGACAGTGCCAAAATAGATTGTTGCATAAGTGCTTTGTCAGCTATGCATAACACACGGATATAAAGAGGAAATATTACTTCTTGGAAAAGGCTGTTTAGAAAAAGGTTCGCTACATAAAGAAAAGGTCCAATGTCAAAACAATAGTAGAAATATCACAAGTAAAATAACAAGCTAAAAATTTAACTTATTTATTTAACAACCTGCTAGAGGCATGTGTTACTCCGAATCACAAGTTTAAAATGCATGTTGGGCAAGTCCATCAATTGTCCAAAGAACACAGTCCAGAAAGACTCGAGCATGTACATATATAAATATCCCATTACACACGAGAATCCTAGAACGACAGTAGATTGTCATAAATAATTTCTCTGTGCAATGTTACTAAATAATTTTGAGTTTCTATGCTGAAATCTTGAAAATAAAAATTTGTCTCCGTGCGCACGTTAGTTGTTTAATGTTTAAAAAAATATTATGCACGAAGCCATGGGTGTGCCTCCTCGCACGCAAGGAGACACCTCCATCCAGGATGGAGACACCGCTGTGTCTCCATCCTGGATGGAGACATGGAGAAATACCTCCATCCAGTGGATGGAGGCATGCTTGGACGGAGGCATTTCTCCATGCCTCCATCCACTGATGCCTCCGTCCACTCATGCCTCCTCCATGCCTCCATGCTTCCGTCTAGTAGTACAATCAAAATAGAATTTTCCACTTGTGAAAAATATTTGAATCAATATTCAATTTTATCCACAAGGAAAATAAATAAAAATAAAATTGCTTGAACTCACCATATTGTTTCAGCTGCTCAAGTCTTCCTCGATGTTTTTCTAACCGAAATAAAAGGTCACAAAGGTTGTAAATGCTCTTTCTGCATAGGGAAACAAGCAACCTAGAAAAAAAAGTGAAAAAAAATACCAATCTGAGGAGAAATTAAATGGGTTCAGTTTGTGAACACATCTCTATGGCCAATAAAGAAATTACACAAAATAAAAATGAATACTAAATGCAGCTTATAAAACTTCTCAAACAAAAATTTCCACAGGCACAGAAACTCACTATAGAACTTAAGAAATGAACCCTAGTGACCAAATGGAAAGCCTAAAGAGAACAAGGGACACTTAATCACCACTTCATTAACATTTCAACCCCCGTAAATACATATGTTGCAACAGAAGATGTAATAAAGATACACTAAATTAAATGAATAAAATAATTAGAATAATGAGAATAACAGCGAAACCTGATTTGGATTTCTTAAAACCGCGATTGCCATTAAGTACAGCATCGTCAGGTCTGCCTCTCTTTTTGGCACTTCAAAATTCCATACTGAAATCAATTCTTTTATACCCAAGAATCCAATAACAGAATTAGATGTTTATAGAGTGAAGCTTAAAAAATGATGTAATAGAGAGATAATATAAATCCAAAAGAAAAAAGAAATGAGAGAGCGAGAGAGCTAAATTACATTGGCATCCTAGAAAGGAGAAATGGTAGATGAAGGAGCGGCCGGTTGCATGGAAGAACGGAGAAAGGGAAAACGGAGGCAACGTCATCCTCCTCCATTGGTTGCTCTTGTTTTCTCACAGGGAAATCTCTTCTTCCCTAATCCGTGCGGCGCTTCGGACAAAAAAAAAGTTATCTGTATGAATTTTGTGCATTTGATTTTGCAGAGAAAATAGGGCAGAAGTGGTGTGAAATTGTCTTGAGAAGGCGGTTAACAAAACGGCGTCGTGTTGGTTGGCGAAAAAATCAACAGTGTCAGAAAACTTGCTCTTTTATATGTAGTAGGATAGGATAAAATGCCAATTGCCATTTTTTACTCTCTCTCTCAATCAATAGGGACACAAAATATCGGAAAATGCCTTCTAATTTCTAGGTAATAGTGTCTAACCCAGTAACGCTTATTAGGGGTGTCCAAAAGTCCCGAACCGAACCGAACCCGAACGGTTCCATATTTATATTTGGACCCGACGGGTCCATTTATTAAATACCCGAAAGTTTTGGATCGGTTCGGGTATCTTCAGAACCGAACCGAACCGACCCACGGACAGCCCTAATGCTTATAATGCCTAATAATTGGCATCAATGACTACAACCATCTTGACTAATTCCAATCAAAACAATTAATAATGAAATAAAATCTCTGAATTGCAAAATAATATTATTATAGTGAGGATGTTATTGTCTGCACGTAATTCTTTTGAATAAAACGTGTCTTTTACGAATCAAAACCGCGTTATAGATAACACCCGTTTTTAGGACTAACTTTTTCTTTCCCCATATGCAATCGCCCCAAATGGATCACGTCCTTGTCGTCTCTACATTACAACTGCCATTTCCTACATAAAAACAAAATTTTTATTTTTTGGCCCATCGTCAAGTGCAACTATCATGTCAATTGACAAAAAATGACTCCGAACTTTACTTTTATTTATATCAGTTAAGTCGCATAACAATACTTTTAATCAGATAATTTCGTCCAATTACGTTACTCGAATAGACAAAAATCGATGACACGGCATTCAATAAAAAGATGGTTACAATTCATTTTACGGCATCAAATAATTGTTGCTCGTCATAACCACCATTTGTTGGTTATCGAATTTAACTAGGCTACCCATTACCTCAATTGAAAATAAATCAAAGTGTAGTTATCTCACTGAAATTGAAATTAAATTATAGTGAAATTATCTTATTGAAATCAATTAAATAAAATATAAATACAGTTGTCTGATTGACATTAATGAAAGTATATTACTAGTATGTACCCAAAAATAAATAGAACAAATCTTTTGATGTAGTCAATGCTGTAACGAAATCATAAATGAATATGAAATAAAGGTTACAGCTTGACAGGCCACCTTCTTGTTAACGTTGCCTCCATAATTATATTCATTCTCCTCTTTTCATAATCCATTTTCAATTTGGTAGTCTTTAATTTAATTCAAGTCATTCATTACCTTAATCAACTTCAAGTCTAATTTCCTTGTTGCTTCTTCAATTTTAGACTTTTTCTGAGTCTTCTACAAGAAGAAATCTACTTTCTATACATGAATGATTCAATTAGAACCCAATTAAATAGCCTCTGATCGGATTAGTTTCTTCAGAATTTTTGTGAATTTCCATCTGGGTTTTGGTTGTTGACTCTTTTTTTGTGTCGTAAGGATCAAATTGAGGGATTGAAAGAGAGAAAATGGGGATTTGTGTAAGCAAAGAGAAGCCTGTAAAGACAAACGCGAATGGGCATAGAGCTGGGAATGGAGTGCATCATAATCAGACTCCAATTCAATACACAATGTCCCCAGGCTATGCCGCTCACTTGCCTGTAATTCCACCTGCAAGCCCTAAACGAGTTGTTCAAAAAGCAAACACCATTTTAGGAAAGCCGTATGAAGATATCAAAGCCCATTACAGCCTTGGAAAAGAACTGGGTAGGGGACAATTTGGTGTTACTTATCTTTGTACTGATATTGCAACTGGTCAACAATATGCTTGCAAATCAATTTCTAAAAGGAAGCTTGTTACCAAGAGTGATAAAGAGGATATGAGAAGAGAGATTCAGATTATGCAGCACTTGAGTGGGCAATCAAATATTGTTGAATTCAAGGGTGCTTATGAGGATAAACAGTCAGTGCATCTTATTATGGAATTGTGTGCTGGTGGAGAGCTTTTCGATAGGATCATTGCTAAGGGACATTACAGTGAAAGAGCTGCTGCTTCAATCTGTAGGTCTATTGTGAAAGTTGTACAGATTTGCCACTTCATGGGCGTGATGCACCGGGACCTTAAGCCAGAGAATTTCTTGTTGTCAGATAAGAGTGAAAAGGCTCTGCTCAAAGCAACGGACTTTGGATTATCAGTTTTCCTTGAAGAAGGTAAACCTTTCTCATTTCGTTTTTCGTCCACTGTAATTGACTATCTATTGATTACTTTGAATCATTGCATATAGAGAATGCCTGCTTATAAATTTATAATATACTCTAGAATCATCGATACAACATCTATGGATATCTCTGTAGCTTGATAATTTTGTTTATTGAACCATGAAGCGTGATGCAATAGACAACGTTGGGCAGGACTAAAAGATGAAATTGTATTGTGGAGCGCTATTCAGAACTATGTGCCAAATATGTCTTAAATGGTTGTTATACTGTGTAGCATCAGTTAGTCATTTCAGACGGTTTAAGTTCAACTCTGTGCTAAAGCAGAGAAATTAATTACACACCTCTTATACCCAAAAAGCGGTTTGAAAAACAGAATCCAAAAAATTGTTTATGATTTATTCCGTAGAATATATTATGTACAATCTTCTAGCATCTTTAAGGTTTTTAAATTTTTCGTCCCTCGTCTGTCACCCGCTTATCTGATTGCCATTTAGGGCACCTTTCTGGTGAACACTGAACACGAAGAAATATTCTAAATTCTACAGCAAGGTTTCATCCCTAGAGTTCTAAAAAAACAGTTTAGATTGTTGTGAGGACTAAAAACTTATGTTTCCATACTATCTTCCTCCATTCAAATAGTCTAAAAGCTTCTCTATTAGCATATGTAATCTGTTCTTTGAACTTCTGTTGCACGAGTAATTACTAGCATGTATAGTTTCACCTGAACTTGTATTTATTGTATTTTTCTTATAATGACTACACTCTGCAGGAAAGGTATATAGGGATTTGGTTGGGAGTGCTTATTATGTAGCCCCTGAAGTATTACACCGCAGATATGGGAAGGAAGCTGACATTTGGAGTGCAGGAGTTATGTTATACATATTACTCAGCGGTGTACCCCCTTTTTGGGCCGGTAACTCAATATCAACCTTCTTTCTGCTTGGAAATGTTGTTATTTGCATATCAAAACTTCAAAAAAATGGAAAATAAAACAGTTTCTCGTGGTCTTACATTTCATCTTCTTATGGAGTTCTCATGGCTAAAAAATTCATGATATATAGAAAATTTTGATTGCAGAAAATGAGAAGGGAATATTTGATGCCATAGCGAGGGGACATATTGATTTTGATAGCAAACCCTGGCCGTCGATATCTAATAGTGCAAAGGACCTGGTCCACAGGATGCTGATGCAGAATCCAAAGGAACGCATTACAGCTGCTGAAGTTCTTGGTACGCCTACTATTGCACAAGTAGTCATCTACTTAAGAATATATTTATTTCTGAATGTATTTCTCTTTCTTCTAACATATTACTCTATATAAAGCATTAAGAAAGCATGTACTTATGTTTTTAGATATTGTGACGAACCATCTGCGAAGTCCAAAATCTGAAAGATTTGTTCCATGATCAGGCTTCTCCAATTATTTCATAAAAGATTTACGAAGTGCCACAATATAACTGTAAATAAGATTTGCTGAAGATTATTCTTCTTAGACTAATTTTACATAGTCCAAACTCCAAAGGTGCCTTTTCCATCGTAATTTGTTATATGGTCTTTGCTATGGTGTTTCTTTCCTTCTCAAAACGTGATCTTTCCTCTTAATTAGATCAGACAGGCAGACAATTATTTACTTTCTTGTTGTCTTCTTAGAGATTTAGTTTCCTCATTTTGCTCTATATCAAAGACCATCCTAGGATATTATGATAGTTAAATGTCGAATTTGCTCATGTTTTTTTGTTAAAAAAGGTATACATAGCTTTGTTTCTTTTGCATTCACTCTTCTGGAATCTACAAATTTGTGCAGTAAAGCCTTATTCTTAAACGACATTTTAAATATTTTTGTCTCCTATAGAACATCCATGGATGAGAGAAGGTGGAGATGCATCAGATAAGCCTATAGACATTGCAGTACTCTCCAGGATGAAGCAATTCAGAGCAATGAACAAACTCAAAAAACTCGCGCTGAAGGTGGTGTTTAGAACTTATTTGTTCTAGATTTATTTCATCTAGTTCAAAGAAGTAAATAAAGAATTATGAGTACCCTTCTGCAGTTAAACAGATATCAAGAGCTGTTTATTTTTTATTCTATTATGTTTCATTAGTTAATGTTATTTGCTCCTGTCTTGTCATAATTTTTATTTGATGATTTATCCCAGGTTATTGCGGAGAATTTATCTACAGAAGAAATTCATGGGCTGAAAGCAATGTTCACAAATATGGACACTGACAACAGTGGAACAATAACTTATGAAGAACTTAAAACTGGATTGGCTCGACTTGGTTCAAAGCTCACAGAGACTGAAGTTAAGCAGCTTATGGAAGCCGTAAGTTAATAGCCATTTATTCTCAGATAATTTCCCTGTAATTTTTCTGTTCCCTTAATTCATGCTGGATTGAGAGAGACTTATCGATCATGCAAACAGGCGGATGTGGATGGAAATGGGACGATTGACTACATTGAGTTCATTACTGCTACAATGCACAGACACAGATTAGAAAGAGAGGAAAATCTTTACAAAGCATTTCAGTACTTTGATAAAGATAATAGTGGGTAATGCTTCGAGCAAGCCTTTAAAGCCTATAACTCTCTGTACGTTGTATTACTGAATAAGTTCATTTTACGTTGCTATAGGTTTATCACAAGAGATGAACTAGAAGCGGCCATGAATGAGTATGGAACGGGTGACCCTGCCACCATAAAGGAAATAATATCTGAAGTGGACTCGGACAATGTGAGTTTGTTTACATTAGATTAAAGATCAAAATTTTCCTTAAAAAATACTTGTCTAATCTAGTCCTATCAAATTTCCAGGATGGAAGAATCAATTACGAAGAATTTTGCACCATGATGAGAACTGGAACCCAACAGCCGGACAGACTCTTTTAGCAGTTTTGAGACCCCGGATGAGCGCAAGAATTGAAACTTTCACAAAGTTACTTTGCTGACTGCGTGGGATCAACACCCCACATGCTTTGAAGTCAAGACTTTAGACCCTCTGAGGCTGCGATTTGGATGTTTTTCTTTTTTTTCAGTAGATATTGTGAATTAGTCACTGTTTACACGGTTGAGTTGCTTCCTTTCTTTCTGTTCTCATCCACTTCAGGAGATTTTTATGCACCATTTTTCTGTATATTTATTCTCTGATACCCGAAGGAAAGCTTCAAAATTTTTTCCATAGCCTCGTTATTCCCAGTCATCGTCTAACAGACGATTTATATGTGATTTAACATTCCTATTATTACAAACTAACATTCCCATTTATATGTGATTTAACATTCCCATTATATACTTTTATTACGGCACGAGTTGGGGTTAGATTGGGTTCAAACCCAACTCGACAACCAAACTAACAGTTCGAGTTGGGTGAAATCCCAATTCGAAATCAAATTGACGAGAGGGGATAACTGACTCAAATTGGTTCAGGTCAGTTGAAGGAAATTTTTCCTTGAAAATCATTTTTTGTTTTTTTGTTTTTAAACTCGACCTCTCAAACTGAGATTTTGACTTACCCGAAAAAATGAACCAACATCCCTCCAAACTAATCCAACCCAACTCGAATCAGGGTAGGTTTGGCAGTTTGGATCGATTAGGCGGATAATTTGCCCACCCCCCTAATCAAAGGGTTGAAAATAAAAACAGAACAACCAAAACACCATAACAGGCTAGGCTTCTTTGTTACACCACTTCCAAGTACATTTTACAAACAAAATTATTAATATTAATAGATAGGCTTAAAATTTTTATCAACGTCTCTTTATTTTAAGTAGGCTTCTTCATCTCTTTAGCTAATGCAAATTATTATATACATAATTCTTCCAATCAATCCTTAAAAAACCTTAACCTACTATAACGTTATCCCTGCTGAGAATGCCAGATTTGCCTAAGAAGTTATACATATTATTCCGATGGTCGCCCTCTATTTGAACCACCCACCCATACGTTTTGTTCCATGCCACTTTACCATTACAGCTCCACTCTTTTTTGAACTCTTTGAGGACTAACTTCTCGGAGATGTTTCTCTTCCACAAATCCAACACTAGTGTCAGGCATTCCTTTCCATTCCTCTCCTGTTTGATTATGTACACGTACTTCTTGGGTCCCGGTTCACTTGTGTCGAACGGATCGACGAAACCCATGCTCTTTAATGCTAAACACTTTAATATAACAATAGAAACTCTTATTCTAAAAATTTTTCGATATCAAGAAATGTAAAAGACTTGCCTTAAAAACCGTTTTAAGGATGAATTTTGATGTTGGGGCTATTTATATGCACCAGAAAAAGGGGTAGTTAATTAATCATGGTTAAGTTTATTATTACCATGATTAAGGTAGGCATCCGTTGGTTATTCCAAAATAAATGGTTGTGGTTTGATATTCCCGTATGTGATTCTACAAACAATTGCGCGTAAGTTTAAGGTTTTGACATTCGCGTAGCGTTGTTGAGCTAACTTTAATTGTTCCGATTTGATCGCCAAACTTATACTATTGATTGGATTTGATCATTCAATTTATAACTCTAATCAATATCTATTATTTTATTGTATTGTTTGTAAGGTTAGGAGCCTCACGAATCAACAGAAGCAATCATATATTCACCAAGAACATTGGTATCTTGTAAGGTTAGGAGCCTAACGAATCAACGGAAGCAGTCATATATTCACCAAGAATATCGAACTAGAAATTAACACAAAGTCGAATCAATTTATCAATGCGCTTAGAAACAATTTATTGTACCGGTCTGTACAATCTAGAATCAACCACAAAATACCCAAACCCTAAGACAATAATCCAAGAAGCTACTACAATGGACTCGATCGAACAAATCGATCTCCAACTAGAAAAAAACCCCCTCAACACAAAGACAATATTCACTAAGAAACAATGATTAAACCAGGGGATTTAATCTATTCACAAAGAATCAGATTTGACAGACAAACGAGCAGAATCACGAAGAGAAGAAGAACCAAAAGCTCTTTCGCACAAAGCCAGAAAAAGGAATGAATCTCTCACTGAAAAGAGACGGTCCAACTGATATAAGTAGACAAATCATCAATCGTAGATCTAATCTTCATCCGACGGTCCAGAGCAACACACTTGGAATATTCCTTGGGCTTGGGTTTTGAGCCTAAGAATAAATTGTGTTATTGAGCAATGGTTTTACTTAAAACATTTCCAGCAGTTGGGCTTAGCCCATTTTCATCATTGTCCAAAATAGTTAGAAAGATAATGACATAAATGGCATCACATTCTAACATTGTTTAGTATTGTCCTTTCAATGGACCACGCCTTCAGTGTGAATGCCATAATTATATAACATGGATTTGGACATTCCATGTGTGATGCGGCGGCAAAGGCAATCTCGTATGATCACTTGGAGGAAGCTGATAGTGTGTAAGGTCAAACTTAATGTAGATGGCTGTAGTTTCGGGAACCCTGGTCCATCTGGTTGTGGGGGTGTTATTAGGGATGAGTTTGGGAAAGTTATGGCTGGTTTTACATCTCAATTAGGGGAGGCTACTAATACAAAAGCAGAGTTGAGGGCTATTATTGAAGGAATGCCAACAACTTGGGGCTTGTGTTGTTGAAATTGAATGTGATTCTCTAATTATTGTTAATTTGTTAATAAACTATAAGTGCACAGTTCGGTATCTATAGGATTTTTGGGAAGATCTATTGGTTTTGATTCATCTTTTTGAGGTTAATGTAATGCATTGTGCCCCCACCCCACCCTGCCAATCCCAACTTAAATTTTTGATAGTTCTGGGGAGTAGTCAGTGTTAATAATGCTTACGTGACCACAGATTGCGAATGGAATGCTCAGGTAGGGAACATTTGTGTTGCTTCCCTCGATTGGAGCTACAGTGGAATTTGCAATGCTGCCAATAGGATTAAAGAGGTTCATCGACGAGGAGAGTGCGCTCTGTGGAATGCAATTTTTTTGATGTGCCTAGACGATGCTAGTCGATCCTAGAAGCGAGTTACATATCGTTTCAGAAAGTTGTATAATATTTAGGATCCATTTGTTTCCCATTATTTTAATAGAATAATAGATTTTTGGCCTTTTTTCAAACAAATGGGTCACAATGTGAGACAAATTGGTCGACAAAAGAGGCTGCTTCCCAATGCAACGATACAAATTTTCATGAAAATTGGAAACAAACAGGGGCTTAATATGCACATTTAGTCCGAGAAGAGAAAGATGGGATGAGGGGCCAACATGAGGGGGGAGGACTAGCTTTGCAAATGTGCTCCATTTTTGGAGAGAAGAAGATTACTGCACCAAATATCTTAGGAAGAAAGTGTAAAAAGAACATTTTTTAGAGTTTAAATGCTTAGAGGATGAGATTACTGGATAGTTGGGACTTAGTTTAACTCATAATGTGTATTTTTCAAAGGCCTTTCCTGCTTTTTTAGCTCCATAATGCACTCAAATCTTTTCATAATCTTTATTTTTCTTAAGTTGGTTTTTTATTTTATTTAATTATATTTGGAAGTAATTTCATAATATGACGCAGCACGAAAGTTCTAAGGTTTACCAGCGTAATTACTAATAAAAAAAAATTGTAATCTCAAGAAAATGACCTCAAAAAGGGAATTGTATTATTCAGAAAAATAAAAAGTCTTTAAATAGTCTTTGAAAACTCTAATTTAAGCAAAAAGACAAAAATAGACATCCACTTAATTAAAACAATTAAAAGAGAAAAAACAAAAACTTCAATTGCCCGGTAGACTGCCATAAACTGCAAATTTGAGGCTAAAAAGACATCGCCGGGAAACTTTGTTGGGACATTGTAGAGCACTGCGAGACATTTTTGAAAACATATTATAATAGAAATTCTGACATTGGTGCAAAAAGTTATGCCCGTTTCTTTAAAACATCTCGTTTTATCAATTTTTGGTTCAATTCTTCTTCAAAATCTAACGTCAATTGGCCTACATCAGAATGAATGCCTACACCTTTGTAGAAACTTTAAGGTTCGGAAATTGAGCTCATATTTGGTACATATTCTTTAAAATCATATGTTATCCCAATAAAATAAATTTGGACGTGAACCAATAATTTTTCTATATTTTTTTAATTACAAATTCTCAAAAAAAAAATCACTTTTTATAAAATCTATTCTAAAAAAATCTACATCAAACATTCCTTGAATTCAATTGCAATTCTTTCGAGTGTCGACTCAATTGGACACGCTACTCCATTTTTGTTCTATATTTTCATTTACGAATGAAAAATTGTAAATCAACTTCCAAATCTATTTCTTAAATTCTCTAAGGAAGCAAATCTTTCCTCGACACATAATAAAACATGTTTTTAATGTTTCCAATACTATAGAATAACGCGACATCAAAGAATAAATAGAGACGCCCCCACTCTCAATTTCTTACAATTTGGTAAAGTCTCTTTTCCTTCTATTCATTGATTCTTGCACAAGTTAAACCCTAATAAATTTCTTTCCTGTTTTTTCTTCAATTAGCTTTCGTCAGACGCCATGGCAAAAAGATCCTTTAAGTTGGAACACCCCCTTGGTATTTATTTATCCATCCCCATACACATACATCACCGACGATCTGATCATTTTTATTAATAACCCTAGTTTTTTTATTGATTTGATTGATTGTGTATGAGTGATTTGGATTACGGTGAAACTTTTGCCTCTCTGGATTACATTTTTTTATTCCTGTTGATCGGATAATTGATTTGTGCGTGGGTATTGAATTCTTTTTTTCAATCTATGATCCGGTATTAATTAATGTGAATTCGTGCCTAATATGGCGTAATTGGGTACATTATATTTAGTTACAGTGTGATAATATTTATGCCCTTGGATAATATATTGTTATTCTTGTTTTATGATCAATTTTTTTTTTTGTTTTTTTTCTCTAAAGGCTTGTGTGCCCTGTGCAAAACTAAACTCTTTTTCAATCAAGAAGTTTATTTCCTATTGTGTGAAATTGAACTAGTAATGAGTACAAAGTATATTTTTCATTAGCATGTGATGGAAGGAAATCTTCTACTTACTATAGCTAACTTAGATTTATTGACAATCACTGATTTTTTTTCCTTTTGTGTTTATAGATTGTTTGGACCTTTTTTTTTTTTTACAAATTTGGCTTCATAGACATCTCATTACAGTACTGTAGAATGAAAATAAAATCTTTGTTTAAATTATGTACTCGCGGAATGGTATATTTAGGAAAGTGGAAAAAGGTCAAACGAGTTTCTTTTTAGCACAGTTTCTAGAACAAAAAGGCTTTCCTCATTATTGATTCCAAAGTAAAAAATAGTTGCACTTGTAACTACAATTCTGCGCTGTTGAAATTATTACATTTGAAGCCATACAAGAAAGCTTGGATTGCAAGACTACCATGCTATTTTAATGTTGAATGATGCACAAAGCTCTTTCTTACTTTTCATTCTTTCACTCATTGTCCATTATTTTGTTTTGTAGATGTTCCAAAAATACTAATTTAAATTATTGCAGAGAGGCGACAGGCAGAAGCTGCCCGTATCAGAGAGAAGTACCCCGATCGAATCCCAGTACTCATCAATGATCTTCAAGATTTTCTTTTTTTGGATGATTGACATTTTTCTCTTGTTCGATGTTCTCTTTTCACCATCTCTACTTTTTCTGCATGTAGGTTATTGTCGAGAAGGCTGAAAGAAGTGACATACCTGATATTGACAAGAAGAAGTCAGCTGCCTTCATTATCTTTTCTATACCTGGTCTTTTGTAGTTTATGAATGCATTTGTAGTTATAGATTGTCTACAAGCTTAAGTGATCTGAGTTTCTCTGCTATTCCCGTTTGTTAGTTAATGGTGTATTGAGTTGTTGACATACAGGCTTGGCATTCATTTTATGGATTTGAAAGCTTTACTTACTCACTTTATTCTATGAACTATGGCAGTGAAGGGATATAGATCCATCAGTTGACTATGACATGTCATAAATGAAGCTTTCGAAATTGTGCAATATCTCTTTCTGAGTGACAACTGATGCATCTGTATGACACTTGCACATGCTAACATATTACTCTTATTATTATCAGCACTGTCAATAATAATTTGGGGGTTTGTAATTGTAGATACCTACTCTCTTTCTTGAGCTTAAAGTTTTGTTACTCACATTTATGTAATCTGCACTGCCATCCTTTCTTCCCCACCTCCCCTCCACGGCATAATTCACTTGTATCATGATATGTTTAATCATTATCAATGCAGATATCTGGTTCCTGCTGATCTGACTGTTGGCCAGTTTGTGTATGTTGTCCGAAAGAGGATTAAGCTTGGTGCCGAGAAGGCCATATTCATCTTTGTCAATAACATTCTCCCTTCTACTGGTGAGAAGAAATAGAATTATTATAATTGGTTACTCTTTATGCGATGTTTATTTTTATTTGGATTAAGGTATTGCTTCGTTCCATGTCGTTGCAGCTCTTATGATGTCCACGATTTATGAGGACAACAAAGATGAGGACGGTTTCCTATACATGACTTACAGTGGTGAAAACACATTCGGGTCATTCTGAACTGGAAGTCAAGCTTAAGTGCTGAACTATGTATATAGTCGAAGAAATCATGTACATTCTTCTCAATTATCTATCCTGATGTTATCTTTAATCCAAAGATTGCTTTGTTCTGAATAATTTCTACTTTTTAAATTTGAATGTGTTAGCATGTGTCGATTTGATCTTATAAATGTTCAGTTTCCCATTAGATTTATATGTACAGGGAGATGGTATCCTTTCCCATCTAAGTGTTTTAATTTGCCCGTCTGTTGTTTGCAAGAAGACTGTGCTTGTTTGGATTTTGGATAAAAATACAAGTTTCTGAAACCATAGTGTGGTAAAATGAGTGGTCGATAAGTGTATAGTAGTTGGGAGTCCTACAAAATGTGTGGTTAAAAAATTAATGTTTGACTTTGACTATTAAATTATAAATTTATAAGGAGATTATAAAACTATAAAGCCCTTAAATCTTAGGACCCGATAATGACAAGCCCAAATCTTAGGACACGATGATGATGAACTCAAATATGAGGACCTAAAATTGAAGGAAAATGAATATTGATGTACCAGAATGTTGCAACGTTGATTTCGTACTTCTTTTACGACCTCGAAATTAGTTGGCTCTTTGGTCAGTTTTATAGGTATTAAGAGATAGATTTCACATATGATGGAACCCTAAATCTTTGAAGCTAATTGAAAAAAAATAATAATAATAATGTGTGTTTGTTTTTTCCTTACAGAACTTTTATAGGTGTTGCATTGGCATCACTATCACTTGTTTGGACCTTTTATCCAAACATTGAGTTCTTGGTGTATTCTTTACTACTTATAATCCTATTCCCAATATTTGTCATGAATCAACGAGTTTATATATCGATTATAGTGTTCTTATATATGCTCCCTGCTACATCATATTTTATGAAACATTGGAACTCTAGCTTCAATCCTGAGTGGCCGAGAATCTTTAATACTTACATTTTCACCGTATAATTAAGTTACTGATTTGAAGATAAAAGTAGATTATCCAAGCACGTGTGGATGCAAAAAGTTACTCATAAGCAACTTTACTCCTTTTTAGCTTAGCCAAACATCCTCAAAATTTTCAAGAAAAGTTGCTTTGGAGCACCATTTATTAGGATACCAAGCGCCGACGTTTGGAGAAAAAAATTGTAGTTAAAAGAAAAATGTGAATAGGTGCATGCTTAGAGCATCTCTAATATATCCTTTATTAGTTTCATTTTATCCTTTTTAAAAAGTCAAAACTTCTTTTTGAGGTGTTCGATATCTTCAAAAATTAAAATAAACAGTCGATTTGACTCTCCAAATATAAAAAGCCAAATTCATCTCCATACAATGCTTCATTTATTATTGCACAGTTCATTTTTATTTTTACAATATAACCAAAAAAGATGGAAGTGATAAAATAAAAAAAGAGGGAAAAGGATGAAAAATAATTGTTTATGAAAAAAAGCAAAATAATGAATGAAAACCGTGTAAAAAATTGACTCTATTCATTAAAATGCTCTTTAAAATAAAGAGTTTGGAGATGCTGTGTGTGTGTGTGTGTGTGT